GAGCAATATCATTATGTGAAGAATTATGCGTCAACATGATTGAGCAAATACTTGAATACTTTCATCTTCTAATAACATGTTTGGATGGAGTATTGCTGTTACACGATGACTAGTAAATAAAAATGATAGATCAAAAATTGGAAGCGTAAGGAATGAAGTTCCATATGTATAATATACATTACCTCCGGTCTTAATTATAAAACCTGGTTTGTAATGTATAAATAAGATCTTATGATTAGGACTTGAGGTAGTAAATCATGTAGTACTATAACATATTTAGGAAATTGGTAAGTGGAGAATTTATGGTCAAAATTTATTGATGATGATGGAAAATGACTGTATTCTCTTTACGCTTGAAATAGAAGCCTGCATTTTGCAATTGTATTTATTTATTTATTTACAGATCCCGGACATAATTTAATCGTTATAACAATGCTCCATTTTTGTCGGATTATATATTCAGACGACACATAGAAATGGAAGTAAAAGGAACATTTGAGAGGAAGTGTCGGAAAGGAGTTTAGGTAGAATACTGAGGATAATACTGTCAAGGTGTAAGCTGGCATTGCTCTACAAGGAACTAATCTTGTCCTTGTCTTACACTTTAATCCATCAAAATTATTTTTGGACAGAAAATAGTGAAACAAGTTCGCATCATCAGATAGACAGAAATAATTTCCCCTTCCTTTATTCATTTGATCTCCAATGTTTAGTCAAATATGAATGTATTATTAAGCCCATTTTCTCCTGCTTCCCTCAACATTTTCATAACTACTCAATGTTTCTTGTTGCATTTAAAATACTTATCAACAAAAGAGAAAAGGAAAAGAATTCTCACCATGCGTTGCACACACTATCATGTTTTTCACAAAAGTGAAATTGAACTATTGTACTGCTTTCAAATTATCATGCCCCTATAATGTACTACTCCGGTCCTTATTATAAGACCCAATTTGACTTTTTATTTGGTCCTAATTATAAGACCCAATCCATTTTGTCTCTTATATTTATGCATTTTTTTCCAAGATAATCCTTCTAATAATGATAGTTTTAGCCAATATACTTAATTAGCAAGGATATTTTAAGAATGACAACACTTATTTATTATAAATAACCAACTTAACTTACTTCCTTAATCTCCTCAAATAAGTCAATTGGGTCTTATAATTATGACCGGAGGAGTATTATTTTTCTTTTAATATATGGGCAAAAATCAAGTCTTGAAAGGGAACAATGAGTCTATCAAGGGAGAATTAAAACTAGATGACCAAATTTACAAGTTAATTACTAAAAAGACCCTCAAAACATACTCCTCACGTAAAAAGTAACATTATTTGTCCTTTTCTTTTTGCCAAGAAAAACTACCATTATTTATCGCCCAATCCCAAAGAAGCAGAACAATGGATATTTGCCATTAATGATTCTTAAGAATAAAAGATTTGTCAATTCAGTACTTGGTAATAATTCCCGGCGTATCTAAAGCCATTAAAAGCACTATACTCTCAACGTAGGCCGGCTTTTAATATCACTGAATGACTTCAATGTAATTTAATGGCAACAACATTCAACAAATCATAAAGATTCATTTAATCGTTTAAGGGTAATAATTACATTAAGTTTTTTATAGGGGAAATTTCACTGTAGGACCGCAGAAGACAAATAATTTCAAAGAGCCCCCAAAACTTTCTGAAACCTCACTGCAGGACCAAGGGACCAATCTGATATTAATTTTTAGAGTGAGATTACAATAATACCCTTCCCTTTTTATTTTATTAAAAAATAAATATTTACCGAAGTTACTGTTCCGGCCACCGGAGGTCGGAGGTCCGGCCACCGGCGCTCAGGTGGCCGCCGTCGGGGTCCGGTCACCGGTGGCCGGAACAGTAACTCCGGCGGGACCTCCGGTGGCCGGAGTTTTTTTTTGTTTAAAACAAAGTGGCCAAGGGAAGATTTGAACCCAGGACCCCTTGGCACACTAAAAGACTTGTAACCACCAAGCCAAGCAACCCATTCAATCATAAAATGCAAATAAAACTATATATAACAAAATAAACGCAACAGTCCAAATGTAAGTGAACAAGTGAAATTAGACGATTTACAAGTGGAATTCAGAAATTTGCAACAAAAATTAGGTAATTTACAAATAACATAATAGAAGTCATAACCCCAAATGCAAGTGTTTAAGTGCAAATGAGCAAGTGAAATTTGAAGATTTACAATAAAATTTTATGGATTTACAACCCAAATTTGGCAAACACAAGAGAATTCACAACCCAAAATGTAAGTGTTTGAGTGTAAGTGAACAAGTGAAATTAGACGATTTACAAGTGTAATTCAGTAATTTACAACAAAAATTAGACAATTTACAAATAACATAATAGAAGTCATAACCCCAAATGCAAGTGTTTAAGTGCAAATGAGCAAGTGAAATTTAAAGATTTACAATAAAATTTTATGGATTTACAACCCAAATTTGGCAAACACAAGAGAATTCACAACCCAAAATGTAAGTGTTTGAGTGTAAGTGAACAAGTGAAATTAGACGATTTACAAGTGTGATTCAGCAATTTACAACAAAAATTAGACAATTTACAAATAACATAATAGAAGTCATAACCCCAAATGCAAATGTTTAAGTGCAAATGAGCAAGTGAAATTTAAAGATTTACAATAAAATTTTATGGATTTACAACCCAAATTTGGCAAACACAAGAGAATTCACAACCCAAAATGTAAGTGTTTGAGTGTAAGTGAACAAGTGAAATTAGACAATTTACAAGTGGAATTCAGCAATTTACAACAAAAATTAGGCAATTTACAAAGAACATAATAGAAGTCATAACCCCAAATGCAAGTGTTTAAGTGCAAATGAGCAAGTGAAATTGTTGAATTTCACTTGCAAATCTATAAACTTTTGTTGTAAATCTTCAAATTTTATTTGCTCATTTACACTTAAACACTTGTATTTGGGATTGTGAGTTCCATTATGTTATTTGTAAATTGCCTAATTTTTGTTGTAAATTGCTGAATTCCACTTGTAAATCGTCTAATTTCACTTGTTCACTTACACTCAAACACTTACATTTTAGGTTGTGAATTCTCTTGTGTTTACCAAATTTGGATTGTAAATCCATAAACTTTTATTGTAAATTTTACTTGCTCATTTGCACTTAAATACTTGCATTTTGGGTTATGACTTCTATTATGTTATTTGTAAATTGTCTAATTTTTGTTGCAAATTTCTGAATTCCACTTGTAAATCGTCTAATTTCACTTGTTCACTTACATTTGGACTGTTGCGTTTATTTTGTTATATATAGTTTTATTTGCATTTTATGATTGAATGGGTTGCTTGGCTTGGTGGTTACAAGTCTTTTGGTGTGCCAAGAGATCCTGGGTTCAAACCCTCCCTTGGCCACTTTGTTTTAAACAAAAAAACTCCGGCCACCGGAGGTCCCGCCGGAGTTACTGTTCCGGCCACCGGTGACCGGACCCCGATGGCGGCCACCTGAGCGCCGGTGGCCGGAACAGTAACTCCGGTAAATATTTATTTTTTAATAAAATAAAAGAGAGGGGTATTATTGTAATCTCACTCTAAAAATTAATATCAGATTGGTCCCTTAGTCCTGCAGTGAGGTTTCAGAAAGTTTTGGGAGCTCTTTGATATTAATTGTCTTCTGCGGTCCTACAGTGAAATTTTCCCTTTTTTATATCTATTACGTGAAGTTTTTTGATCACATGACCATGTGTCTTATTTGTAAAATATTAACATTTAATTATAAATTCACATAAAAAGGACACATGATTATGTATGATTAAAGAACTTACAACATAATAGATACTCCTCCGATCCTAATTATAAGACCCAATTGACTTATTTGAGGAGATTAAGGAAGTAAGTTAAGTTGGTTATTTATAATAAATAAGTGTTGTTATTCCTAAAATATCCTTGCTAATTAAGTATATTGGCTAAAACTATCATTATTAGAAGGATTATCTTGGAAAAAAATATATAAATATAAGAGAGAAAATGGATTGGGTCTTATAATTAGGACCAAATAAAAAGTCAAATTGGGTCTTATAATAAGGACCGGAGGAGTATAAGAAAATTGATCTAAGTTTCTTTCATCATTTAATACATAGGCAAAAATAATCATTTAATACATAATCCAAATTCCAGCTTTGAATCCCAATCACTTAAATCTAGCATATATACGTTCAACTGATAATTCTAGTGGCGAACAGAGCGCTCGAGCTTAGCATCCATCACGTGGGTCATTAGGTTATCGGAAAACATGAACGCAACCGCAAGGAAGTTGGCTTTCTTGATTTTCTTTTTTATCATTGCATCTAGTTAGTCCATGTCCCTATCTCTCTTATTCTTGATGAATCTGTAGAGAGCAACACGCCGTACTTTTGTTCGCAGGTGTAGCATCTCGAGGGACGCTAGGATCTGGAGATCAAGCCCAAGCTTGCAAAACTGATGAAGATTGCGAAGAACAATGCGATGCCGGAGGCTGCAAAAAGAACTGCCTTGGATTGCCTAGTGTTTGCTTCAAAGGCTTATGTGCTTGCCCTTTTGGCAGTGGACATACTTCCACCAAACCTATCATAAATTCCACTTGTTGTGTCGATCAAGATTGCTCTAGCCTCTGTCCTTCCGTTTGTAATGTTCAGAGTTGTCTCGAGGCCAAGTGTTATTGCGGGTGTTCAGGATGAGAAAGCATCCCCCTCTTCTTCTTACTGCATGTATCGGTCGTTTTATAAATAAAAGAACCAACAATTACAAATGCGAGACAGCCTGAGAACATGTTATGTCTAAACACAATGGACAATTATATCCCGAACTCTCACGGTTTCATGTCTTCTACTTTCTGCTTTCATCCTTGTGCGTTCGTTTCTATCCTGCACTTGTGTTTTAGCAGAGGTTTGATCAAACTGTTTCGTAAGGAAGTCTTCCGAACAACACAAATTGTTATAGACTAGAGTGCTACAACGCGTCAGAAAATTGCAAATATACCTCACCACCTCTTGATCTCAAATTGTTCTGTCTTATGTACACTCCATTCAAAATTGGATGGTTATGTCATGACCTTGACATTTGGACATCAGATTTGCTTTATTGCTGTATCATAGTGTAGAACTGACACACGTATATATATAGGAGTACAGGCGTTTGGGAAAACTTTGTCTGAACAAATTATATGCTGTTACTGATGCTTAAACTATCAAGAGAACGCTCCGTTGCTTCAATGGAGTTGAGTTGACGAAGCAGACTCTCTATCCCTTCAACCCATTGCTGCTTGTGGAGTTTACTCTTGCATTTGAACTCTAGAAGACCTTGTGCTGTTTTGAGGCCAAAATATAACTCTTCCGATGCTTCTCTTTCCTTTTGATACGGCCACCCAGCATCTTTATCACAGATTCCATAAACAATACCTACATAGCACAATATGTTACCCGAGATCTTTCAGAATCCACAGCTCCAAATCAGAAAAATAGATGCTTCCTAACGCTGGAAAAATGAGTAATATGCGTGTGTTTTACTGATTTTAGAGCATTTGTATTAAACGCACTTACATTTTTTCTTTTTGGAGAAGGTTCCTCCAACATGCTTGCTTTTTAGCTTAATCTTGACCTGAGAATTAGGGAAATGATAAGTGAGTATATGAACTTTGTTGGCTTGTTGATAAAGTCCACCGTCACATTATTTGTTAGTCTGGTGATAAATTTGTCATACCTGAGACTTCTTGTTGATGTAGACAGTGACATGCTTCCATTGTAAAACACCTGAATACAAGGAAAGATTTAGAAATGATGAACTAAGGACTCTAACATGGCTTTTAAATATAAGTGGTTCTTTGAAACATAAGCATTTGACCTGATAGCAATTAGCCAATTACCTTTTCGTGTTAACAGCAATAAATCTCCCACACATGGAGTAGGACGCTCCCACACTGGACCGTCAAAAGAAGGAAACAAATGCGTTTCAGCTATTCCCCTATCATAGGGACTGATGGACGCATTCTTTTTTGCCTCCTTGGGCAATCTCGCTTTCAGAGCTGCTTCCCCTCGCAGGGCTAATTTTGAAGTGCAAGAAGAATCTTTAAGTGAATTAATAATGAATAACTTAATTGTAAGAACTATGTTACAGGATTAGACAAAGTAAGCAAGCACCTGTTGCAGCAGCAGCAGTTAGAGTCATTAGATCTCCAGAAGTTCGAATATCAACGGCAGACCTGACATTGGAAGCCACCCGCTCATGATCACCTCCGGCTAATTGAGCCATTTCAATGCAATGAGATGCTAAGAGTTCAGTGGCTGAAGCCAGAGCAAGGTTCAATTTTGAAGGAGAGCCATTGGAGCTCTCTGCTGCCGCCACAGCAGCCAAGGCCGAAGCTAGTGCAGCAATGGACACAGCAGAATGTACACGAGCATTTTCAAGACGTACCCTGTCTTTCTTTCTCATCGCTGTGATATTGTTAGTACGATTACCATTATGCTTTTGGTGAAACCATCTACCAATGGTGCTTGTTCTTCGACAATTAGTAGAATCAGAACTTACTGCCTTCCCTGGCTGCAAAAGCAGAGAAAAGTTCAAGCTCGCACACAATTCTGCCACAAATGATCAATAATAAGGATTCAGATGGGTGTTAATATGCTAGGATGATGATGGCTTACAAGTTGAGGTGCTGAAATAGTTAGTGGCAATGCGTCTGGATTCTTATCGAGGAGATTTCGTTTCTGTTTTTCTGAGAGAGCCTTGGATATTTCAGAAGCAGAGAGACTCCAAGACCTCGATAGGAACTCCATAGGCTCATGCGGTGTCGGTGGCTGAGGTATGGCTGGCAACGAAGAGACCAATCTGAGTTCGTTATTTTCCTCCACACCCTCGAGCCCATACCAGGAACCATTTTTCCATGGTGGAAAGAAACTGCCTTCCATTTTTGCTTCAGAAAAGTTCTGAATGCTTCGAGCAGTTCAGTTCCTTGAGATCGTTATATGTATACACACACACTTTTTATTCAAAAGCCTGCAATGCTGCATTAGGCGCGCAACACAAGACCCACAAAGCAGAAAAATAAGGTTAGCCAGCAAATTATCTAGAATACAAATCAGTCTCGTAGAAGCTAAAAGTAAAGCTTATCGTTTTGTGTCCATTTGAATGTACCAGTTTTCCCAGAGCAATACCAGATAAATTACCTCCGTTATTCCTGACGGACCGTGCCTAAGTCTGAACCTTACAAAATCTTCACGGAATTGATAATCTGACAAAGAAAAAGAAAATCCAATTGGGAATTGATTAAGATCCTTTAGCAAATACCAAATGGCAAGAGACAGATTATTCTATAATAGTTCTCCAAAAGAAAAACATTAAGAAACAGGGAAAGAAACCTGCTTTACGGAGCTTAACAACCTCCAGAATCAAGAGAAGCTTTTGACCAAGTCTCCTACTTTGCGACCACCTTCAGCCTTGAATATATATGCAAGAGACACCGCCTAGGAGCAGCGAGGCCAGACAAATTACAGGAACAAGGATCGAAATCTTGTGCTTTGAACCACCACGAGTGTAGGTGAGGATTTTATTACAGAAATTAAAAAACATCGGAGACAACCTGGAGTTCACGAAGCTCGAAAACCTAATTTACTATTAATTTGACCAACATAATCCAGGAGAACGGGCTTTGGTTCCCAGGAAGAGCTCATGCAAAGCCCTCTAGCATTTAACTAATTATAGATTATAAATTTATGGTCGTAGGAGTCTCCTTCGATGTCCTCGTGTGAGTTTTGCGTTCAACGTACGTCCTTTCGGTCGATTTTTATATTCGAACAATTTAAAATGCGCGCAGGACCACCCTGGTCGGTGGGACGATTTTTAGTACAGCCCTTGCCCACCTCAACTAGGCTTCTTCTTCTTCTTCATCCCGTTTCACCGAGGCCGTGCAATTTATGTTTCAAATAACCATTTCGCTAACAAAAGTTATTTTACCGACACAGTGAGTTAGCAGGAACTAAAAAGAAAACATGAACCGAAAAAATCAGCATTGATTCAATTAATTCAAGTAATAATGGATGAATGTTACCTGAAACTATAATGTCGTCTTTCTGTTTCCTGCGTAAAGCAAAACTTACCTAAAAGTCACTTTGAATGATAAATTGTTTTCGTGATAGGAACAGGCATTGGATTTCAAAGAGCCATCAAGAAGTGGACCCTTTAGGATGTTGTTGCGCCATTTTGTAGTAAATGGAGATATAGCCATTGATTATAAGTAGAGGTCATATTCCATGTTATGCGCACAGTTCATGCGACCCAATTAATCTTTTAGCGAGTTCAATCAGGTACAGAAGATGTAATCCGGAACCTAATTAACAACTGATAATCACTTCTCACCCACCGTGTAATTGCATTCCTCTGGAATTTTCAGGGTTCATATTCACGGCATTGACACATAGCCGCACACATGATAGAAATCAGGAAGCGTGATCGCTTTCGCATTCTCCATCGCATGCTGTCTGATTGAATCGAATAGCTAAGAAGTGGCCCCAGAAATTTATGGCTCGAAAGGGATAGATTCCATCAGGTAAAGGAATTCGGCCACATAACCTGGACGTGTCGATCTGATACTGACTATCATAATAATATGTGTGAGATTATTGGGTCTCCAGCCTGGAAAATTTTAAATTATATCAGCATGAACGAGGATGTCCAATAAATGAAACAATCCCGACCAAGGGTGGGAATTACCTGAGAAATTTGCACCAAACAATCTCAAACTACTTTTTTCTTCGCGAATATGGAGTGTAATGACGTACGGCGATATTTCGATTATGGATTCAGGCCCTCGCCTCCGACAACAATAAATTACGATTTAAAAATTATGTTGTTTTTTTTTTTGGGAATGAAAACTGAGGACTATATTAAGACATTAATAAGAAAACAAGCTTACAAGACAAACACCAAACTAAACATACATCAACCCACCCCCTGAAAATCAAAAGGAGGAGGTTGAAATTATGTTTTTTTTTTTTTACCAACTTAAAAATTATGTCCTTGATCTTTTGATTATAAATTTTTCCTATAGCGATATATAATGCACATGCTTATCTTCCGACCCAGTGAAATTTAAAAAAAAAATACTTTTTTTGAATAAAACGTTGAAGAATGCATTAAAAGGATTACAAAGTAAATTAGACAAGAAACTGATTAAACCTCTTTTCATTAATAAAAATAATTATATGCATATAATTAATATAGTAATATATATGTGAAAATTATTTCTAATTATCAACACAATAACACTACAAAATTTTCGATAAAATAACGCAATGAAACAACCTAAAAATATGTTGGGCTTATTGAGTTTGTCAATTTTTTTAAATGATTTTTTTTAATTTTCAGTATTTTTTGTGAAACAAAAACATCATCTAATTTTAAGTTATAACTCAACTTGGTTCAACCCAACTCAATCATAAAAACGATTTTTTAATCTGAATAGAGTTGTTAGCAAATTTGAGCCACGTCCAGCCAGTTCAATCGTTGAATCCAATCTCATTTTTTATCACTGTTACAATAAGGTGAAGATTGATTAGAGGTGGAGAACTACCCACCCGTCTCCTTCATCCTTCATGCCTGGCCGAAAATGAGCGCAAAAATTAGTCTCTATTCACGGGTCATGAGGTTGAAAGGCACCCCCCCCTCCCTTTTATAAAGGGGCATTTTAGCTTGTTCAATGACCTCTTTATAAGGATGTGGATGACAATCACATGTTTTGTCAATAATATGAGTTACGAAAACTTCTGGATAGATATCCTACATCTGAATTGAATTCTTTCTGGTTAAAAAATCTCTTTCTAGTTGCTCTAAAATCCTATTAATCCTTTTAAATTAAGCATATTTTCTGGTAATATAGAGAGCTCTAAAAAAGGATTATGATCCTTTTAGTCTTAAATATAAAACCCATTTTATAATACTCCTCCGGTCTTTAATATAAAACACATTTAACTAATTTGATTAGATTAAGAAAATTAGGTAAGTTAGTTAATTATAAGAAATGTGACACGTTTTTCCTAAAATACCATAATCATCTTTTTTAATACCTCCTCTTTCACTTCTACTTGATTAAGGTTGAGGGAATATCTATAGGAGTAATTTAGAGAAAATTTATAAATATGAGAAATGGGTCTTATATTTAGGATCAAAATCAACTCAACAATTGGGTCCTATATTAAGGACTGGAGGAGTATAATTTATACTACAAAATAGGTCTTACATTTAAAATTAAAAAAGTATTATTTGTAATGCAACTTGATAGATATTTAATGGTATATGTTTTCAACCTTTCCTTTTCCTTTTTTTTTTGGGCCAACTGCTTTTCTTGTACATTATATACAATGTACAAGGATTATAAAATAAAGTATCACATTTAGTATGTAAGATAAAATGTATATAAAATAATGATACTCATAATTCATGAACCATATAACTCGTTCTTTAAATTTTATACAAACATAAGTTTAAGATAAATCAAAGGACACATTGCTTGTTAAAGCTCTTTATATTCCTATATTTTTTATATTGAAGATTAATCTCTCTTTTTTTTTGCCAATATATGGAAGATTAATCATAGCAAAATGAATTGTTAGTTATATCATGTTTTAATTACATTATCAACATAGTTTAGTGCTCCAATCATCCTTACTTTTTAGAAAATTGGGGAGAAGTCCCATAACCAAAAGTTTTATTGATGAGAGAGGCCTAAATGAAGGTATTTCTCATCAATCAAATTTTTAATGGGAGACTTTTTCTCAATTTTTCTTTTAATTCCACCCCCCCAAAAAAAAAAAGCTGTTTTCCCAGCATTAATACAATTCTCTTTGTTGAAATTCAATATCATGCCCGTTTTGAAAGATGGGCAAGAATGTAGATGCCCATCTGATGACGTGCGGACTGTTGTATCAAAATCTAACTGTTTTTTTTTTTTTTTTTCAAGTAGGGTTTTCAAAAAGTAATAATAATAAAAATCAAAATTGTACTATTTTATTTTGCAAAATATCAAAATATTTTTCATTTTACCTATAAACCAGTGATAAAAGTTGGTATGGGTAAGGATCCTGGATCCATCTTTGTTTTTTTGGGCCAAAGTATCCATCTTTGTTAAACTCGAAATCAAAAGTTTGTTGCCAATTCCCAATTGACCTTTTTTTTTTGTTGAGAAAATTATAAGAAGGTTTAAAAAAATAATTATAAAATAAGTTTTAAAAGTTGTTATTTTTTACTCTAAAATTTGTCATTACAAACTCTTTAGATTAGATTGTTAATGAAACTTCAAGTAATTATTTTTTTTTGACTTTATTATAATTCTTCTCTCTGTTTTTTTTTTTCCCCTCAAGAGAGATAATATATATTTAAATTCAATTTCGTTATCTTAAAATTTACTCAATGCCTGTCGCCAATGGAAAATCTGTCTGGCGGGTTCGCTAGGCCCTTTGCGTCGGCAAACAAAAGCAGCCAAGATCGTACTGCGTCTAATTCCCCAAAGCACCGTGTTGCCATTCCACAACTGCAGTGATAGCGAGGGCAGTCACAAGGAATCTGTCTGCTTTCGACTTCCCCAGTATGCCCGTAAGTACCCGTTTCTCGTTCTTTCTCCCTTGGTCGCCCCAATCCCGATCTCGTTCGGTTTGAGAGATCTGATTCTCATCTGATTTACGTTGAAAACTTCCTCGGTTTCACTTCATAAGTCCCTATGATGCAGGTTAGGACCTTCGTAGAGGTTGAGCCACCTAGCCCAATCAGGTACTTTATCGGAGCCGCTATAATGATGATCGGAGTCGTATTGCCGGTTGGCTACATGATGTTCCGGAACAAGAGAGTGCCTCCGTCTTTGTCCTACTCTAAACAAACGTAGGTGTAACTCCAATTCTTTTTCCCTTTGATTTCATTCTTTATATCATATTTCCATTTACTTTGATCCTACTTGGCCTGTTTGGAGTTCGTCGTTGCTAAATGCAGCCAATCAGGTGACCTTAGCTAATTGTTTTGTGTCATTCGAACAAAAAAAAACAGAAAAAGGAACAGTTGAATGTGTAGATCTGCAGATTCGAAAATGAGAATGTGAATGCCGTTCTGTGGTCTAGATTAGAGTATGCCGAGAAATGCTAAATCTTGTTGTGATCGAACCTTCTCTGTCAACCCAGGAACAAGATTCTGATATAAGAGAATGACGGGATGGGAGGCTTGGCTTCAGTGGATTCAGATTCGCCTGTCGTTGTGGTGGGACTTGGGAGGCGAATGGTAAGAGTAAGAAGCTTCGTCAGATCTATTAAATATTTCATTGGCAATAACGCATTGAGATCCCTCACACTTGTTGAGCGGTTTTGTAACTTTTGTTCATGGGATTCTGAACTCCGACCTCATCAATACAAATTTTGTACTAAATTTTTTAATGATTTTTTGAAAAAAAAATCAAATTTGTTAGTTTTGGGTGTTTTCTTTCCACAAAATCATATAAATGAAAAGATTCCAAAAACGGCATTCATCCTTTTATGTTATCATATCGAAACTAAGTACTAATAAATAATAATACTAATATTTTTTTCAATCCAAAGCTCAAACACCATTCTGATACGCAAGAGTCTCAGACACAATCTAAGTACTCTCTGTATGACCCTAAATATAGTACTAATAAACAAATAATTAGTTTTAATTATTGATTAAGGACTTGTTTGGCAAAGCGTTAGAAATCACTTATAAACACATTTCATATAAACAAGACAAAACTTTTCTCACATACTTATCTCGTATTTTATAAATCATGATTAAAAAGTTACTTATAAACTATTCCAAATGAGTCCTAGATGTTTTAAATATACCATACCTTTTTCTTCCTAAAAACGCTTCTAATAAAACCGTTGAGTCATCGTCATACCTTAGTTAATTCATGATAATTAAATAAAGGACAATAAGATAGATGCATCAGTTTACACTCCCATTCTCTTATATTTTGACTTGAGACAACAAAAGTCCAAACATTATGACATCAGGTACGGAGGCTGAGCTCCTTCCCATCCCCCCACCACCCGGTGCTTGTTTTTCTCCTCTTTCAACCAACGTCACATCTTGAGGCGGGATAAACATCGCCCTTAATCTAAAACATAATTAAAAAATTCATGTTGGTATCATATCTAAAATTTATCTCACATGTTTATTAATTTTTTTTCAAATTAAATTATTAATATTCTTTCAATAATAATCAAGTAGAAGAAGGAATGACTGAATTAAAAAAATATTTAGGGTATTTTCAACAACTTATATTAACTAATTTAATTAATATTTTTAATCTACTTAAATTAGTTAATTAGATCTAACATAGAACTGGAGGAGTAAATAAATAGCAGAACTAAATTCCCACTATGATGAACGCAGTTGACTCTTAAAGCAGTATTGAGTTTCGAAATCTCGGATTAATATGAAGGGAATCTACCCCGGGCACAATTAAATATTCTTTTTATACATAATGTGATTGTTGTACTCTGTGCAGAGGCCACCGTAAACTTAATTCCACCTTCCCAAAGCCTCACCAACACGTACTCTGTCCCCACGTCTGACAGAGAAGTTGAACTCCGGTGAGGAACCTCCTCCTCCTTCGAGCAGTTTCGAAATGGGAGCTTGGAAAACAAGCACAACTGTCGATCCCATGTTGAAAGCACCCAACTGAGGACACAGTAAACTACATTAGTTCACTGGTAAATAAGCAAAGGGATAAGAAATCACATAGCAGGCCAGCAACTTCTCTCTACTTGCTAGCAGCCATTTTGTAATTCTTTTTATTATAACTGTAAATGAAGTAGACAAAATTATTAAAGATAAGCAAGGTGCATGTCTAACCTCGTCTCCCTTGGACAGCATCTTACCAACCCCTTCAGGTTTATAAACCCGTTCCTCAGGAGGCTCCGAGTGAAGAAACTTCTTCCTTGGCTTGTTGGTTTTGAGTTCAGGTTCAATGAGAAGCTGTCGTGTCAGAGTTAAAACTAAATTCATTAATCGAAAGCTCAATTTATTATGCACAATAAACGCAACATGCCATCCCTGCCATTGTGTTCCAAAGTTTTCTGGCTTAAATTTTTCAACCCGGTACCACCATATTTAGACAGAAAATTTAACGTTAACTCACAATTTGAAACCAAAACAGATGAACATATAGCATATTGTAAAGGTTGTACTTGTGTCATGAGCTTGTTTTTAATACAACCATAAGGAACTGGTAAAAAAACCTGGATTGATCCAATATTTGTGGCCCCAATTGCTGCAAGCGCTATATATCCTTGTTGCCATAGACCTTCAAGAACAACCTGCAAAAATAGGAGCAAATCAATGAAAGATGATAGGTGATCATAAATCGTAGAGGTTAAGATTGAAATGTTGATCATGGTGTCATAAATTGAAGTCATTAAAGAGTTACACAATAGCATCCTCAATAAATAAATAGCTAGACCAGCACAAAGAAAGTTAGGAAAATTTCAAGAGAGAGAGAGAGAGATAAAATATTGAATATTCTGTATAACTAAAGATAGCTCATTTAATTTTATTGCTTGTCAGTAGAAACAACAAGACAAGGCTTTGAAAGAAAAGATAATACAGGTTTATGGAGAGAAAATTGTTGCATCTGTCCTTGGCAAATTACCCTTTCATTCTCAATATATAAATTTCTTATCGTTCTTGTAGCACGTTCGTTCAGGGGATAAAGACGTCCTGCAACATAACAGAATGGGAATTCAAAGGGGGAATAAGATTAGATTAAAATAGAAAAATGGATGCTGACAACTAACGAAATAAATTGTCAAATCTAGTTCTACATTTTTCATATCCCATTGATTCCAACGGTCATCACCGAAAAAACATCTTGATTTTCAACACACGACGCAAGAGCTGTAACTGCATTTATGCTACTTCACTGTTACTGTTAATTGTTTTTACAAGGAAAAGCCTACAACCAAATTATTATAATGACTTTAAAGAAAAGCATACAAGTGAGAGATCATTCTCAACTATAAATGTCATCCCTAGTAACACCATACTGAACTTCATTGGATATGACCGTTTCTCCCACATTCCTTCTTGAAAGGGCTACTACTTACTCATGACAATATATCGGGGATAAGGAACATAATACAGACATGGACACCTCATAAGAACAGATCGCAGCCAGGCATCATTCTCAAATTGTTTAAACAAAAGCTCATGGACCAAATCTTTTCACCTGAGAAATGCCTGCGAACGAGAATGTTCCAGTCAGCAGGTGAATGTATGCGATGGTAGTCCCCAGGGCCTAAGTAAATCACACAGTAGAAGAGGCCTCTCTCTGGACTGCAATAGAAATTTTGACTATATACGAGCCTTCATACAGTGCATTCATCATGTATCAATTTAATATATAGCAGATATACTGTTCTCATTGGGCCACACTGACGGATACCAGTCATATACATTTCAGGAGAAGCTAGATAATTCTTCTCGCATTTAAAAATCAATATTAAGACTATGAAAACAGAATATAGATCCTAATTCCATAGAACCTGTGTTTTACAACAGACCGATGGACCCACAGCTCCTGGGACTAGGAAAAAGAAGGAATATAGAAAGAGAATGGAGATAAAATATAGCATGGGGGTGAGTTCACAGACAGAGAGAGAGAGAGAGAGAGGCGGTAGTAGAAGAGGCTAAAAAGAAGGTCAGCATCTAAGAGGAAAATAAAGAAGTATTTGGCCTAGTGTGAAGAGAGAAGCCTAACCTCTCAAAAGCTAAAGAAGTGTTTGCTTTAGATATCTATTTATTCTGCTGTGACTATTTCTATGCAGCGTGTGGGAGTAATTTATTTGCCTAATAGCTTTGAAGACCTTGCTGTTTTATATTTGGTGTAATTGAAACCAATCCATTCCTTGAATCTGATAGAATCTCTTCCTTTAATTTCTGTTATTTCAATGGCAGAAAAGCCTAAGTGTTTTTGAGGAGCAGGTTTCCTAAACAAAGAAACAAAAGATTCATGTTTTCAAATGAGAACAAATTGCTACACTAATGTTTTTCAAACAACAGAGACACAAAAGTAAAATCCAAGATAAACTCAAGCAATGACGCAAAAAGCAATGATGACACCAACAATATTTCAACACTTTCAGCTCAGTTACCTCCTCGAGTTACAAATATGGATTATCACATGCCCTCTGACATCCAACTAACCATAGATGCATTTTGAAAATGGAGGAGTTAGTTTGAGCGAATCAGCTGAGAAGCAAACATCAATTTCCTTCAACAATTACTAACCCCCCCCCCCCAAAAACCAAAAAAAAAAAAAGAAAAAAAAATCCTTAAACCATTTGGACCTGTTAAATTATGAACTTACAACCAGACAGGAATAAGTAGAAATCCAACATCGAATTACCATGATGATTTAGGGTCCCAAACTTTGGGAGAAGCTAAGGAGACACTCCACCAAGATCTGTTTCTCTTCTCATCACTAGTGACTACAGATTCAATATGCTTCTCATGTATATTACAATCAGCCGCAGTCGGAAAAAATTGGCTTGCACCAAGAAGAGAACAAACAGAATATGAAAATCCTTTGACCTGTTCAATCATCGCACCTGCTCCTTTCAACTCTCCAAATCTTAAAACTGTACCATCCACAGGACTAACCTGAATGGTCATACATTATGTATAAGTCAACAATGCTAACAGAGGAAACTGATAGGAAATTTGAGATTTCTTAAAAGCTGTTACCAGTTACCAGACATTGTGGATCAGGGTCAATGGGCCTGGAACCTTCTTTCAGAGTGCGAACAAAGAAATCCCTTAAAGAGGCATACTTGTCTAAAGGTAAAGCAGCTTCATTTAAATCTAGATGTCAATGGGATCATATTAACATATAATGTGAAGAATAATATTGGAATAAAAGGCTGAAGAGACAAAACAGTCATACTTGAATGAAATGCCCGAGCCCAAGCTCTATAAACATATGGTCTTAAACACACGGGAATTTCCTGAAAATTTTTCCACAATAACCTAATAGGTAATTCATGTCACTTGAAGAATATAAAAGATAGACAATATTCAAATTAAAAATCAATTTGAAAATTATTTAGACAGGAAAAATTGTGCAACACACTGTTAATTTGCAGGACGAGAGAGAAGCCAAATTAGCAAGGAGAGGGGGAAAAAAACAAAATTGCAACTCGAGCAAATTTAAGCTGAGGTTCAACAAAAACATTGATGAACATCAAACATGATAATTAAAAAAAGAGAAAAAGAAGATCTCTTACCATGCTTGCCAAGTATCCCCAAAATCTAGATACTGAACGCAGAGGCAGCACCCTCAAAAATGTAGCCTGTTATAAAATAAGGACATATGTCAAAATCGGCCTCCAAACTGTGACACACATTGATACAAATATATAAAATAAGGATAACCAATTGCTCTTGTGTGTGTGTGTTGTTCAGGGGAGAAATGGGGGGAGGACCTTAACATCAGGTTGAAACTCCAATTCGATTCCTTTCTCCCTCATCTCCTCAATCTGTTCCCCAAAAAAAAAAAAAAAAAATTTATTCTAGAGATACATAATTGCAATATAAATCAGGTAAGACTTCGTTTTTGCAAACAGGTAGCATATGCAGTAAATCCAATTTATTGAAGCAATGCATCTGAATGAATCCCAGTATTGTACATAGAAACGAAGTTAAACATAAGGCTCCAAGGGAAATAAAACTACATCTGCTCATCAGCCTCGAGCGTTCCAGAATCCCCCCCCCCCCGGCACTCTTGTTGCAATTTGTCTCCTATTAACAAGGCATATGGAGATCGACGAGGATGACTCTAATATGAGTTATCCAAATGCCCAAGTGACAATGATCAATTATTCATGAAAACAAAAGCATTCCAACTGGGAAGGAGATTGCCATCTTACTTTCTTCCCTATTTTGGAAGGAAACCCCACCCCGCTTTGGTTCCAATACACTTGAAGAAAGGTTACAAGTCCATGGAAACACACACACACAGAGGTACCATAGAGTTCTTGTAATAAACAACGACTTGTGAGTTATTAAAGTGCACCTTCTTGTCATCATATAGTCGACGGGCATGTAGTGCGCCAAGCATAAGTATGGCAGCTACTGTAGCGCCAGGCATGAGAAAAGAATCACCTACACACTTATAGCCGTAAGCTCCGATATTCTGGACCTGGACACGGACACGGACACGGACAATACAGAGCAGTGTAATCGCAAAACATAATTTAGACCAACTATTGAATTTTGAGGGTTTGCATAAAGATATCTGAAACTCCATATACCCCATCACACGAAGATTAATGCAATGACGATAATTCCTAAGAGGCAGACATATATAGTTCACCAGTTTTCACGTTATGAATAGCTATTTGAAACAGCTTAAAGCATAATAGAATGAAAATTTTCATCAGTAATTTTTCAGACAGATCTCATCAAATGCTGACCTAAACGTTAGTTGATCGATCCGTCCGACAAATGTACTAAGGAATTTGAATGGTATCACACCTTAACTTTCTGGATTTTAACTCAACGACCGTAATCTATGAACCACACTCTGAACAATCACCAAAATGGGTCAGAGCAACTATGGGGAAATACCTTCACCACTCCAGTAGGAGGAAAGCAAATATTATTTCACAGGAAACAAAATATCCCAAGATAACCATTACCAGAAAACACCCAAAGAAAAGCAAATTTAAGCGGAACACATATTTAGCAGAGGAATGGGGTCAGGAGGAAGAACTTAAGCAAGATACTATCATTGTTCCTTCTCCACTTAAAGCTTCAAAGTTGCAACATAAATGGAGGTCGCACACAAACAAGCCACTGACCTTGAGAATTGCCACTTCCGCCATTTATAGAAGCTCGAGCTTGTGCTGCTTGAAACTTTTTGAAGAAAGAAGATAAGGAACGAGACTGGTTAAGTGCGTAATAAGGCTGCGCAAGGTGAGGGAACACATGAAATCGGTGCGAAACCCTATATTTCATTTTTGCACTTTTCCACTACGTTTTTCCTGTCTAGTATAATGTCGGGTCTGCTTTACGGTGGAAAGCACGCTTCGGAAGCAAAGCTTAGCTACGGAGAGCCACTGTGCTTCGGCAACTTACTTCGGCGGAGGTGACAAGCAAAATCAGTACCTGAACACTACAAGAGCACGGAAATCGTGTGATGTATTTATAAGTAACTCCGAAAATCTAAACCAAGAACCGGATTACTGGCTGTCATTGTGCTGGGCTGCGTGTACTTGCGCGGCAAAAAAAAGAGGCAAACAGTGCAGCTAAAATCCCCCCCTTCTTTCCCCACTTGGTTGTCAATTTTTGAGAAAAACTAGGGCATGCTTTATTGGATTTAAGGCCCATTTGCTACAGCAATAAAATTTCCGTTGCACATCTCTTTTGGGGAGAAATAATTTTCAGACGCCGGTAGAAAATTCATTCCTGCAAAAGCAAAAAAAATTGCATCTGAAATACTCCCTCCATATTTTTTATAAACAACTTTAAACTAAATCATATAGACAAAAAATTAATTAAAAATAATAAATATGTAAAATTTAAAAGTTTTTTCTCCAAAGCACTACAATTTACAGAGAAACAAGTATAAGAAAGAGAATAAAAAATTATAAAAAAAGAGAATATATCATCGATAGATATTATATTAAAATATAATTTTTAGAATATTCATTATTTAGAAAATGATATTTTGAAAAACAAAAAATAAACATATTAACTATTAAAATAAGTATTTAATAAGGATCAAATAAAAAATTTGCTATAAAAAATTAAGATAATATGTAAATATTGTTTATATTTGTGGATAATGAGGAGATGGTAATTGTTGCTAATAGCAAAAAAGGGAGATAGTATGTAAATACAAAGTCGATTCTTTAATGGTTTCCATCTTCATTTTGCTATCCTTAGACTTCAACTTCTTGGCTTCATCCTCAGATTTCAGGCGCTTAATCCCTCTTTTCTAATAACGTGCAGTATTGGTTCAGAAAATAAAAACCTGACCTTACATGTATTGAAATCAAATATCACAACCCGTGTCTGAACCTTCTCCCTGTTCCTCATCAAAAGTCAAAACCCACTCGGCCCCATAATTATCGTCTCCAAACTTCCCCCGTGAATGCCACTTGCGCAATGGCAGGAACCCGGCAACCCCATATTCCCCACTGGTCCTCGGTGAGCCCTCCAATAACATCCCCAGTACTGCCGTGTTTGTTTAATATTTGCATGATTAAGATCAATGCTAGAATGAGTTGAATAGATTCATATTGAGTTAGGAGGTGTTTGGAAATTTATAAAAGTATTTTGAAAAACACTTTTCTACAAACGAAGTAAACTCCTTTATATATTTGTTTGTAAACTGTAAAATTATTTTTAAAATTATGATTTCGTTTTTATCCAAACACTTTTTTAACCAACATTAAACAAGTAAAAACGTGAAGTAAGTATGACTTGACATGATAAAATTGATTTTTTTTAGCCAAGACAATAAAAGAGAATGAAGTTCTAAGTAGTAGCTCTTATATAAGTGTTTGTTGGGAGATTGAATTTAGTTTTAAATATAAAATTTTAATATTCTTTGTTTCATGTTTTTTCAAAATATTTTTATTGATTGTGAGGGATTCCTTTGTTTTTACATTTTTCTTAAAATATCCCTATTAATTGTGAGAGATTTCCACCAAAATGTGATTTTAATGCACATAATTAATAATAGTAGTTTAGAAAAATTAACATATATTTATAACAGATAACTAACTTAATTAATTTTTTTTAATTTGTTCACATTAGTGACATATCTGTTATATTAAGTATTAGATGTAGTACTATTTTCAATCTTTAATATAAGAACTTGTTTGACTTTTATTTTAGTCTTAAATATAAGATCGTAATTCACTTTATCTCTCATATTTATCCTTTTTTTAAAGGTAGTTCTTGTAATGATGGTAGTTTTAGCCAATATACTTAATTAGCAAGGTTGTTTTAAGAAAAACGACACATATTTATTACAAATGAATAATTTAACTAGTTTTCTTATTCTACTCAATTTAATCAACTAGTTTTTATATTAAGAACCATATATCGTAATTAAGAAGAAGTTTGGTTTTGGTTGTTTAAGGATTTTAGTTATGAAAAGAAAAGGGATCATAAGCTACTTTTTATGCCCCGTTTCAAATGTACACAATGTTGATTTTCCACTGTATATATTTGATTCTCTAAATTTATCTCAAGTTTTAATTTATTTTTTTTAGTTTATAGAATATATTTTTAATTCATTGATCTTAATTTTGTTAGTTTCATTTCACCCAAAATGTTGACTTAACAAATTAATGTGGTGACTTTACAATTAAATATAGACAAAATATGCCCTAGATTTTAAATTTTTAAAAATATACTTTTTAAATAACTACACTAAAACTTAAAATTCAGAGGGTCAAAACGCAAACTTCAATTTAAAAAACCGGTGGAAATAAAGGACGCCCCCCTCGGAAGATCCAATTCCACGATAGCTTCCCGCCAAAAAAAAAAAAAAAGGTGCGCATCGTAAGGTTCCTGCGCTGCGCACCCCGCCCAACGCCGCAGCATAGCAAGCAAACGCTCTTATAAGGACCTCTCCCGCTGGTTCGCACCGCAAAATTTGCTACAAACTTAAGCAGCCAACTCGTACGAAGCAAAAACGACGGTGCCGAGAGTTCTAGTATCGTGGTTGGTCTAATCGAGAATAGAGCGAAAGAGGTTATCTCTTTCCCATCCTCCGATAACTCTTACTCCTTTTACAAGGAACTGACACTGATGCTGATCATTTCTTTCATTGAGATCCTTCAATCCATCTTATCTCATTTAAATTCCATCACCTGCTGAAATCGAACACTGGATTTTAATTTACTTTGTTCGTCAAGTTTCTTTATCTATCAAGCAAACGGGAAGGAACTTTTTTCAATCGCTCGCCAAATCTGTCATCTGTGTTGCTTAGCGTTTGTTTTTTTTTATATGTGCGTTTCTATGGTAGAATGTTGGAAGTGTCTTCGGTTTTTGGCTCGTACGGTGGCTGTTCATGTTTTATTGACTTGTAATGGTCGGAATTCCAAAAAGGTAGTCACTGGAAACGCGATGATCAAGGACTACAGTCAAGAATAGATTGTCGTTATTTGCGTGTTTCAATCGGCAATTGAAGAAAACTGTTATCAGTAATATATTTATGTGAGGAATTATTATTTCTCTATGTCAAGTGATTTGTGTTACTGAAGTCGGAATTTAATTTCAAATTCACGCGTTTGGCTTCCTTTTTTTTTTTTTTATAAAAAAAAATTTATATCTGAGTTGCAAATCGAGGTTCTTTGTTGCTGGATCGGAACTTAAAATTATGCTTTGAACTCCATGTATCCATTCTCTGTAATGGTTGTTCTGTACTTTATGTAATCAGGTGACATGTCTTGCACAGATGTTCAGTGGTTTTAACTGAAGCTGGACGGTCACTAAAACCATGATGTAAATTGGGATTGCTTGTTATATCACCGGGGGAAAAAGAATTTAGGGGTTATTCATATATGAATTGTAACTTCAGTTAGTTGTTTGGGTCTTCAATTTTATGATTCTATGCCGAAATATGAGTATTTTGGTTCCAATTTTGAATCAACATTTCTCAAGCCTTGCATTCAGGTTGCTTGTCCTGGTTAGTCGTCTATATGAGGCTTGTAATGGCTATGTTCGAAATTTAACCTCTTGATCCTTGATTCCATTACCGTTTTTTAAGTACAACTAGCGATAAATATATATTTCCCTTTTTTAGGTTCTAAGAACGACTCTTGCTTTTACTTACTGAGGGGGGCGATATATTTACAAAATAAATCACTTGAAGTAGCTTGTTGTTTGCTGTGGTTATCATCAGACTCTGGAATCATTATCTGGAACTTAATCTGCTTAATCGTTATTCATTAGCACGCACTGTCCCCGTGTTTGATATTCTCGGGTTTTGATGAAAAACTGGATTTTACACCATTTTACAGAGCTGGAAAGCTTGTGTATATATATTGTTCTAGCAAGATGTAAATATTTATCTCAGATAAATATTTACATCTTGCTAAAGGAAATTAATGCGCCTAACCGAAATTCATAATATGTACAGGTCGGTTTAGCTGCTTTTGATTTAAGATCAGCATCATTGCATCTTTCTCAGTATATTGAAACTAGCAATTCATATCAAAATACAAAAACACTGCTGCATTTCTATGAGCCCATTGTGATCATTATTCCTCCAAACAAGTCAGCCCCCAATTCTACGGCTGGAGTAACTGAATTGATCGATAGATTCAATGGTTCCTTGAAGAAGGTGATGTCACTTTCTCTGTTAAGGGGAATAGTGTGGGGCTAGAAGTTTTAAATTTCAATGAACCACTGTGGATGTTAATTTATGCGGCAGTCTCTGCTATGCAGGTTGTATTGGCCCGTGGTTTTTTTGATGACACAAAGGTTTTGTTATATGCTTTTCATCCTTTCAGATGTTTACGGGATTTAGGATGCTTTAGCTTTTCTTCTCCTACATGTCACTGAAGTATTATTCCTCAGGGTGCTATGTTAATAAAAAACCTAGCGTCTAAGGAGCCTTCGGCACTTGGCCTGGACACTTACTACAAGCAGTATTATCTCTGTTTAGCCGCCGCCGCCGCCACCATAAAGTGGTATATTCATCACTCATTTATGTTGGATATAAAAGTTATTTTGGTTGCTTAATTAATTTTATTCGTGCAAAGATAACTAGAAGCTATTCGATAAAATTATTAAGTTTTATCGCCTTGATGGTTCCCCCACAAAAAGGAGTAAAAAATTCTTCGAGTAAAGACATCACCAAGCCTTGCTCTAGAATTTTTCTTCAGGAATTGTTATGGTGGCGTAACTATCTCATCTCCGTTAAAGTGTAAATGCTCCACTCTTCCCGTTGCACATGATGCATCCTAGTTTTCGTTGTGAAATTTAATATATGCAATGTTAATGTTGCTATTTTGGAACTTCTCGACCACATTTCTGTTACTGTACAACAGGACGGAAGCAGAAAAAGGGGTTATTGTTACCAATCACTCCTTGTCGGTAGGCACAATTGTTCTTTTTGTGGTTGACCTTTTATGTTGTAACTTCCAAGTTATTGTTGTTTATCTTACCGCCATCATTGGTCGCTAATAAGCTCAAGTTCTGTGCAATTTACAAGCGATACTCACATGTTTGTTTGCTTAATAGGCCGTGTGTTGTGGTCATTTTTTGGGT